CTACTACTACTACCACCACTACTGCAACCACTACTACTGCTATGTCTACTACTACTACTACTACTACTACTACTACTACTACTACTACTACTTCTACTTCTACTTCTACTTCTACTTCTACTTCTACTTCTACTTTTACTTCTACTACTGCTACCACTGAACCACTACCACTACCACTACTACTACTGCCACCACCACCACTACCACCACCACTACCACTATTGCTTTCGTCTACTGCTACTGCTGCTACCACGCTATTGCTGCTGCTACTGCTTCTGATTTGCGGCGAACAGTGCGTCTCGGGGTGCCTAGAATCTACAAAAGGGGCCTTAATGATCAGAACGGCGTTTTGGGGCCCATTATACTAGAATCATAATAAGGAACCCCCAAAATAGTATTGCATGGTAATTACTTAAGCCCCTTACATCTTCTCAGAAAGGAGCTGCTCTAGCGCTTCCTGGCGCACCGCTTCCAGGAGAAGAGCCGGTCGTGGGTTCCGAGTTTAGGGTTTAGGGTTCCGAGTTTAGGGTTTAGGGTTCCGAGTTTAGGGTTTAGGGTTTAGGGTTTAGGGTTACTTGGAGGTTCATGGGTAGTTATAAATGGGGTTATAAGTAGGGTAACTATACTTATAACCCATATTAGGGGACTCATAACCCCACTTATAACTACCCATGAACCTCCAAGTAAGAGTGTGGTTCAGGACTTTCGACTTTGGAGCCAGGATCTGGTGCCTACTTGGAGGATCATGGGACTTAGTAAGTACAGTTATAAGTCCCTTAATTGGGGTTATAAGTATAGTTACCTTACTTATAACCCTACTTACTAAGTCCCATGATCCTTCAAGTATCCTCCAGAACTAAACACAGCCTAAACCCTGAACCTCAGAGGTCTGGAATGTTAGGATCTGCGAGGTTGAGGAAACAAAAAAAAGCAGAGATCTTCTAGCGAAGTTCACTCCGGTTTAGGGTGTAGGGTTTGGACCCCTAGGGCTTAGGGTGTGGAGGTTTAGGGTTTAGGGTTTAGGGTTTAGGGTCACTAAACGGGAGTTCTGGATGGAAAGACGTCCTGCAGCTTCTGGGTTTCAAGCTTCAACGGCTTCGCGCACCCTACTGTTGTCAGTATACTTGGTTCTTAGAACTTTCAGTATGCTCCTTCTCATTGCAAATCAGTTTTGCTGTTACTATTGTGAACCCCAGAAAGTTGGAACATGGTTTAAGCATGATTTGAGCTGGGATCCCCTATACTTTGTCTTCAGGGCATCAGGATAACCATGCTCCAACTTTTTGGCTTCTACTTTACATTCTCCTTATTCTGACATGACCTGGCAGCCCCTATATCTTAACCCTAAGAAGGGACCTTACCAAATAGACTATGTTTGTACTTATACAAAGGAACCCTAAGGAACAGGATCTCAGGCCCCTACGTCACAAGAAGCTTTGAGCATTTGAAAGGGCTCAGGGTTTAGGGCTCAGGGCTTTGGGTTTAGGGTTTAGAAATGAAGAGTAGGGTGCTAGGTTTACTGGTTTCCAAGCTTCATGCGTTGAACTTCTGAACTTGGCATCAAACCCTAAACCCTAAAGCCTAAACCCTAAACCCTAAACCCTAAACCCTAAACCCTAAACTAACTTGGCATCAAACCATGTTGTAGTTTAGGTGTCCTGAGTTACTACACCCTGCAAGCATCCAAAAATGATGAACTTGGTCGTGGCTACGGATGCATTATACTATAATAGTAATCAATAATTCATAATAATAATAATAATAATAATAACAATAACAGTAATAAAAACAATAATAATAAAGTTAAGGAACTCTTAAGGAACCGTAAGGGTACTTATGCAGGCCGCCATAGCAGTGTCGGCCTGGATTGGTTTGGGGTTTGGGCTCTGTGTTTGAGGGTTTAGGGTTTAGGGTTTAGGGTCTTTATCCGGATTCCGGGTGTAGGACTTGCGTCGAGACGTCGGCCTCCGTAAATGTTAGAATTGCCCTGAACCCAAAGCCTCGAAGCTAACCCTCTCTCGTCTTGGTCGCGGGCGGAAGCCCTAAACACCGACACCCTAAACCAGAAATCCCTCAGGACCCTGAACCCCAACCCCAGGTAGAATGCTTGCAGAAGCCTTTCAATAAAGATCCTAAACCCTACCCGGACCCCATAAGACCTGATTTTTTAGGGTTTCCTAATTTATTATGATTTCCTTATACAAGTCCTGAATATGGTAGGTTATTTGGGGGCCGTCCCGCCGGATTTCTGGGCCCCGCGCCTTTTCTCGCCGCAGCTGATGAATCTCTTCTTTCTGCCGGCGGAGCTGTTCCAACCTCGATGGGGTGAAGGGTTTGCGTTTTCTTTTTTTTTTGGGATGGGGTGTTCTTTTCCGACGAGCAGCTAGAATTCCTTAAGGATTTAGGTTTAGGAGTTTAGGGTTTAAATTAGGACCAGGGATTTGGGGTTTATGGTTCTGGGTTTAGGCTTTACGCTTCAGCGACGCCGGTCCGGAATGCGTTCGGTTCGGTTCTGGCACACCCGCCTGTAGCCTCCCACCAGTTTCAAGATCCAAGTATTCACCCCAAGCCCCTAAACCCCTAAACCCTAAACTCTAAACCCCTAAACCCTAAACCAAAAAAAAATACTAAACCCCCAAACCCCTAAACCCTAAGCCGCCAACGAGCAGCAAAAAACACAGCCCAGTCGGCAACAGAAAGCTTCGCAGCCCCGCCTCTGCCTAGCCTGGTTTGGGGCTTAAGGCTTTGGGGTTTAAGGTTTAGGGTTTCGGATTTAGGGTTTGGGGTTTGGGGTTTAAGGGTTTAGGGTTTAGGGCTTAGGGCTTGGGGCTGTAGGGTTTAGGATCGCATCCCCGGTACTTGGAGGATCATCGGACTTAGTACGTATGCATATGAGTTCCCTGAGTTGGGGTTGAAAGTAGTAGTCCCATGATCCTTGAAGTAGCCTTAAACCGTGGCGACGTGCCGCCAGTAGGCCCTAAAAATCATCCCGCAGCCACGCCCTGAACCATAAAGACCACACCCCAGCAGCACCCACACCCTGTGTGCAAAAGACCAAGGCCGTTGGAGAGGTGCAATTCGGATTGGCCATGATCCCAAATTTGGATCTCGGCGTAAAGTCCTAAAGTGCAAGCGCCCTAAACCCCTAGACCCCTAAACCCTAAATTCCCTGCCGGGTTCACTATCCGGGCTGGTTTTTGCTGCTATTTATGTGCTTTTGCATGCCCCGCTCCTTCACTGCTGTTTGTCCCTCACTTTGAAAACGGCGTCCTGCGCGAGATTTTCGCACTCTTCTAGATGTTGCGCTCTTCGTACCCGAGGGTTCTGTCTCATTTTCGCTTTCTTGTAACAACACACAAAATCTCACGTGAGTTTTCGTCGTGCGCTTTTGGTTGCGACTTGGTCCGAAGCTCGAAAAACGTGGCCTGCGTGTTGTATGCCTGACTTTCGGAAATTATGTTATGTTTTCTGCTATCCCCCGCTTGCCGCTTTCTGTGTTTTTCTGTCTGTGCCGTTTTCCGTCATTTGCTCTGCTTGCTCTTTGGGGGGGCGGTGGGGGGAGGGGTGGGGTGGGGGACTTAATGACGTTCTGTTTCGCGGGCAGCCTTATGCTGCAATTATAAAGCCAAGCACTAGAGGAAACGAGCACGTAACGAACGAAACGACAGCAGGAGGAGGAGGAGGACGTGGCCGCAGGCACACGCACCCTCCCCCTGCTGGGCCAAGCTACCGGCGGCCGAAGGGTTCAGGACGACTAGGGTAGGCCCTAAAGCCCTGAACCGCCAAGCCCCTAAACCCCCTAAACCCCTAAACCAAACCCATCACCATGCAAAAATCATCACCAAGCAACCATCACCATGAACACATCATTACCAAGCAACCATGACCATAAACAAGGTCATTACATATACCATCCAAAACCCTTACCAATAAAAGTTTTTTCCAATACCTAAAAACACCAAACCCCGAAAACAACGACACAAAACCACCCTGGAAAGTGAACAGGGCTAAATTCTAAACCCCCCAAACCCTAAACCCTAAAAGGCAAGCGCCCTAGACCCCTAGACCGTCTAGACCACTCTGATTATCTCGCGGCGCACCGCCAGCAAAATGCATCAAAGCGACAGATCTTCCATTGGCATTCCTCCCAAGAGACGAAAACACAAGCCAGTTTAATGGTTAGGGGTTTAGGGTTCAGGGAGAACTCAAGGTGCAAAAAAGGTGAACTACAGTGGCGACTGCGACACTATCCTGTAGCACCCAAACCTTGAACCCCCTTACAGGAACCCTCAATGCAACCCTAGACGGAACCCTTTAGGCTTACAGTAACCTCCAACCGGAAGCCCCGCTTTTCACTGGACAGTCCTTGTCTGTACGAAGCCCCGCAGCACTTTGCCTCGAAATCGATGCACAAGCGGCGGACCCATATTCCTTATACAGGATTTATATCGTCAACCGTCTGTATACTACCCAAAAAATTTGCCCTTAATCATTAAGGCCCAGCTATATTCATATAAGGACCTGGATAACTAGGATTAGGGAGTAGAAGGGCAGATCATGACCAAACTATGCCAACCTCTGTGGTAGGGGTCTGGATCTCACAGTTTTGGGGTTTGGGCTCGTCGGTTTAGGGTTTACAGTTCACGGTCTGGGGCTTGGGGTTTAGAGTTGGGTTTAGGGTAAACCCTGAACCCTAAACCCCAAGGGTTTAGGGTTGTCATAGGTTTAGGGAATATTGCCGCGGGTGTAATCACGGGGCATATTGGGATGAGGGCCTGGTGTTGAGGGTTCAAGGCTTTGGGTTTAGGGCTCGGGCTTCGGGTTCAGGGTTTAAGGGTTCAGGGCTTCGGGTTTTAGGCTAGGGCTTAGGGTTCAGGGCTTCGAGTTTAAGACTAGGGCTTAGGGCTTAATTAGGGCGTTTAGGGCTTCGGGTTTATGGCTAGGGCTTGGGGTTTAGGGTTTAGGGGGCCCGACACTATGATTGCCCAATTAGGTCTAGCAACGGTTGCTGCTAAAGCAAGCAAGCCACGAAACACGTGGGAGCACAACAGCAAAACATGATAAATGTCGTAAGAATGAAAACAAAGAAAAAGACGGCCCTTGCAGGGACAACAACAAGTGTAAGTTGATCTACCAGAAAATCAGCAGCTATGCGACGATGGCAACAACAACAACAACTGCATGCCTTACCACTGAGCAGTGCTGACATTTATTACCATGATATAGATGGAGAAACCATGAGACAATGACGTAGTTATCTGGCTTAGGGCTTTAAGGCTTGCGGGCTTTAGGAGTCTATGACACTGTTCCTTAAAGCGCTTCATGAAGGGTTCAGAGGGCTGCTATAAAGCGAGAGGAGGTCGAAGCTTTAGGGCTTTAGATGCCCTGCCAAGAGCACTACTTGGGGTCTAGGGTTTAGGGGTTTAGGGGTTTAGGGGTTTAGGGGTCTCAGTTTAGGGTTTACGGGTTTAGGGTTTAGGGCTTAGGGGTTTAGGGCTTACCCTAAACCCTAAACCCTTAGGGTTTAGGGACACGACCTTTCGGAACTACAGGGTCATAATTGGACGTCCCGAGAGCATCCTCTGCCAAGAGCGCCATTCCGTGGGTCCATGCCACCTTCGGAGCTTGCGGCCCTTAATTAAGGAACCTACCTTAAAGGTTTCCTATAGAGGTTCCTTCAAGGGGTCTTTGAGGGAACTGAGGAGTATATCTTCAATCTTGATAATGTTCCGAATACAATTTAAGGTAGGCTCCTTAACTAAAGGGTCTACAAGGGAATTAAGGAAAAAAACCCTCAACAAGTTACGGTAGGTCTCCTTAATTCAAGGCTTTGGAGCCTCTGGGAAGCCTAAACCCTACCCTAAACCCTAAACCCTAAACCCTAAACCCTAAACCCTAAACCCTAAACCCTAAACCCTAAACCCTAGACTCCAGGCTGCTTGGCGCTTCGGGACTAGGCTCCCCAGCTTTTTGGTTCTGTGGTAGGGTTTAGGGTTTAGGGTTTAGGGTTCAGGGTTCAGGGTTTAGGGTTTAGGGTTTAGGGTTTAGGGTTTAGGGTTTAGGGTTTAGGGTTTAGGGTTTAGGGTAAGACACCACTGCCCAAATGATCGCGGGAGTTCGTAACTAGGGCCATTTTTTGGGGGGAAAGTTTGCTTATAACCCCAATTAGGGTCCTAAACTCTGAACCGCACAGCCCCAAACCTAAATCTACCCCCAAACCTCAAGCCACACAGGCTAATCGCAAGACCGGGCTTTCTGTTTTGCACTGGTATAAGGAGGGCGCCACCAAAATGCCGCGCTTGTGACCCCCCAATTCAGCAGCAACGTCGCTAAACCCGAAAGTCCCTAAAACCCAGACCCGAACCCGCAAACCCCAAACTCCTAAACCCCTAAACCCCTAAACCATGAACCCTGAACCCAAACAGGTTCAGGCTTGTGGGTCCCACCCAATCCGGAGATCTGAACACTAAGACTCCCTTGAAAAATTGCCCCCGGTTTTGGGTTTAGGGGGGCCGTAATAATTCGAGCAGGGTTCCTTCAAAAGGTTCCAAAAGGTTCGCTTATGGGTTCTGCTAGGGTTTAGGGTTTAGGGTTTAGGGCTATATATCGTACCACATTCAAGGGTACGGCTCGAACTGTAGAGTTGTCGTATGCAGTTTCCCGAATCCCTGCTTTTGCTGTTACACCGGGCATCTACAAGCTAGGGAACACCTGTCGCTGCCATAACTAGAACAGAGTTGCTTTTTGGAAGGGGGTGTATCTTATACTCTAGTTATAACAGAAAACCCGAAAATAATAGCATCACTAATTGTTCTCCTCCCTATCTTAAAGCCCTAAATCCTATATGCGTTGAAGCATCCGCCTTTCGCTGGGACGGATCCTCCTGCAGCAATCTTTCTGCGGGAGGAGGGCCTGAGCATTGCTCCTTCGTTTAGGGTTGAGGGTCAAGGGTTCAGGGCTTATGGTTTAGGGCTTTAGAGTCATCCAGAAATCCTGTAGACTTCGAACACAACCTGGTGGTCATGACGACTGCTGTGCACATTCTGCTAGCTACTTTATGGCTGCAGCGGGCACGCGAAGCAGGAACACGCAGTCAGCACATCCACGCCACGTGCTTAAGTGACACCAAACGGGACCCTGAGTTAGAGAGCTGCCCACTTGCTGCAGGGCAGCTCACGTCGCCAGAGTGGCGGCCCCTTGCAGACAGCACGGACTTAGGGGGCACGGGTTTAGGGTGCACGGTTAAGGGCCTGAGGGGCAAGGGCTCAAGGGGCACATCAAGGCAACAACATTCACTTTTAGGGCTTAGGGTTTAGGGTTTTTTAGGGTTACTCTCTTGCTGCATCACTATGCTTTGTACTCGAAAACCAGAGAGGTGCCCTGATTTTTCGTTCAGCGGACATGTGAAGGCTTGACGAAAAGCCTCGGGCGTGAGCAAGGTCTACACAGATCCAGATGCCAGGCATGTTGTCGTGTGGTGAGTTCATGCTCTGTCTGCTCAAACGCCTCACAGCGCAAACCTAAATCCTAACCCTAAACTCTGCATGCTAGTCCCTCACACCTAAAATCCTAAAGCCCTACATCTGAAAGCTTACAACACAACCCTACACCCGAAACCCTAAACCCTAAACCCTAAATCCCAAACCCTACATCCTAAACCCTAAATCCTGAACTTTAAGCTGCCAAAGCACTGTCTTTGCATCTCCCAGCGCTCCCGGAATGCCTCCACGGCACCTGTACCTTGGCATCTACGGCGCGTCTTTGGGTTTAGGGTTACTATGGTTGTCACTATGACTATGACTATGGCTATTACTATGAATACTGATACTACTACTACTACTACTACTACTACTACTACTGCTGCTACTTCTGCTACTGCTGCTACTGCTGCTTCTGCTGCTGCCGT